TTTATTTGAATTTTTCCTTTTCTTTTTGGCATCTTCCCACTTTTTTGGGCATTTGGAGGTGAATACAGGTTGAGTTTTACAAGTGTTATCTTTAGCCTTTGTCAGAATTGTAAAAATTTCCTACGTGATTTGCTTGCTGTGAATTTGGATATTTTGTTCCCAACCATTTTAACTGATCACTAAATAACAATAAAAGGCTGAAGGTACACTCGAAAGTAGTTGCCTATTCTATATCGGTGAGAACAAAAAGGTGAAGAGAAATACATTACTTATTTATAAAGCAAAATAGATTTTTCTAGATGGTTCGCATATTCTTGCTAAGTTTAGCTTTACAAACTTTCTATAGCACCAAGTTTTCAACTTATGTTTACACTTTGGAAGTACTTGACGATTGAAATTATAGTAACTCATTTAGTTATAGCTTATATTACTTATCATTTTTCACTACCATCACAATTGCTATTTCTATTTCACCATGAAAATAAACTATTCTTTTTCTTTTTTTTTATTAATGAAGAATCAACTCCAACAAATGATAGCGTAATCCCTGAAGATATTTCACCATGATATTTTTTCAAGTACCAATTTCTTATTATTTCTGCTTCAAGTTTATCGTATAACTAAGGTATGTCAATTTTATAGTATTTTAGTTTAGGTTTATTTGTTTGTTCTCGTCAGGCTCATTTCTTTTCCCAAGATGTAAATAATTTCTTGTGCTGTTGATTTCTCATCATTTCTGTTTTGAATCTTGTGTTGTCAGTGTGGTAATTTTTTATTTTGCTTATACTTTTTAAGGAATTTGGGGTAAATATCAGTCTGTTATCAATGGTATTCTGAGTCTTTTCATTCGAAGCACAAATCAAATTTGAATTTTTTTATGTAGGTCTTATGTGGGGGTATGGTTAGAATTTGGGAGTTAATTAATTGAATTAATTGCTATGGATCATGTTGTAGGTCGAAAATTCAAGTTTGGGAGGAAAATTAGGAGAGGTTAATCCAATTGGCATGAAGGCATTCAAAGATATAGTAGTAGAGACTCTCAGCATCAACACATGTCAACATTTGATGCAATCCTTAACACAAGTACTTCTGCAGCTTAATTTATTGAAAAGGAAAATCAAGGTTTGAAAATGTACCTATTTATATAGTTTCGTAGTTTTTGCAATATAAATGTTGTGAGTATTGAAGTTTGCTCTTCTTATCATTATGTAGAGTACTGAATGGAGCGAACAAATGTACTTAGGTCTCATGCCGAGAATATCATTCATACAAATTACTAATCAGGCCTTCTGGTAAGTCAGTATTGCTTCACGTTGGTAGGTTCTTGTAACGATATGTTGTAGATATGTATGTTAAGATTGAAACTGCTAGATTAGATTATTTTCATAATAACCAAAAACAAAATCATGCTAAACTTTTTAAAGGTATTGTCGATAGTGTTCAAAATGGGAAAACAAGAAGGGTGTAAAATTGGACGAAAATTTGTTTTACCACAATCTTTTACATGTGGTCCTCGTGACACGCTAAGGAGATATATGGATGGAATGGTTATTATACAATATTATGAAAAATCAGATATATTTTTAACTATAACATGTAATCCAAATTGGCCAGTGATTAAGTAAGAACTATGTAACAATGATGAAGTTCAAAATTGA